GTGGTGGTGGTGGTGGTGGAGGTGGCGGTGGTGGCGGTGGTGGTGGTGGTGGTGGAGGTAGTGGTGGTGATAATGGTGATGATGGAGATGGTGATGGCAGTGGTGGTAGTAGTATCCCCATTTTACAGAGGAGGCAACTGAGGCATAGAGAAGGGTTGCATGGTCTGAACACGACCACCCGGCTAGTAAGTGGCTGAGTGGAATTTCTACCCAGCAGCTGGCTCCTGAGCTGCTCTTCAGGACCAGGCGCAGTCCTCATGTCACGCTCTCTGAGCTTCCTTCCCACAGGCACATAGGCCCCACAGAGCTCCGTGGCACAGCCTGTATGTGCTCCAAGAATATTACAGTGTCCGAGTGCTGCCTGTGCTAGCCCTGGACTCCCGGGTGCAAATGCCCTGACTTAGCCACATGTGTCCCCAGGGCTGGGCCAGGGCTGGACACAGAAGATCTCCCAGACAAGTCTGTGGAGTAAAACTAAGACATCATATCATGGTGGGCGCTGGGGTGTCCCAGGTCCCCGCAGACACAGTCTCTGTTCTCGTTCATCCCCGAATGTCCACCTGGAGCTGGAGTGGGAGGACCAGGTATCAGTGCCTTTCTGTCCTCACCTCCCCTGCAGAGCCACTGCCCAGCATCAGGCCCCCTCAGGCCCAGGCCTACCGCCAGCCTCCTCCTCAGCCCTGAGATGAGGGGCCCGTCTTTCCCAGCCTCTCCGGCCCGGAGGCTTTGTATCTGTCTCTTTAGGGGAAATTGAGCCCCAAACCTGCAGCCACCGTTTTCTGCTTCCCTGGCCCAGACTCTGTCAGCCTGTGTCTACTCACAGCCCTGGGAGGAAGGCATTGTGGAGTTTTGTTTCTGTGGCCTGGAGGGGCTTGGCAGTGCATGAAGGAGGAGAGACGTGGGGAGTGTGTTCTGTAAAGGCCGTGTCCACACACACGCGGGTCGGGGGTGGGGCTGGCCTGCAGCCTGGCTCCTCCACAGATGCTGCCATCTGCCCAGCCAGAACATGCTCACAGCTTGGAGACCAGCCTCTCCTCTGTCTTCCCACCTCCCAACCCCACCATCTGGCCAAGGAGAGCACCCCCTCCGCCAAATGCAGATGTGTTTGTCTATCACACACACATGCAAAAACATACAAACCTACATAAACATCCAAGCAAACACAAATACTACATGGGCATGCAACGGGGCACATGCACATACATATACTCACGTGCAGACCAGCACACACAGTCTACACCAGGGGTCCTCAAACTTTTTAAACAGGGGGCCAGTTCACTGTCCCTCAGACCGTTGGAGGGCCGGACTATAGTTTAAAAAAACTATGAACAAATTCCTATGCACACTGCACATATCTTATTTTGAAGCAAAAAAACAAAACGGGAACAAATACAATGTTTGTATTGGCATATGGCCCGCGGGCCGTAGTTTGAGGACCCCTGGTCTACACAGATGTATCTCCACATCCCCACGTGCATGTGCCCAGGCTGTGCCCAGTGGTGCAGTACCCACGATGGGGATAAATACCCCTCATGAAAGCTGCCATACATGGAATGATCACACAAGTCTGGGCGTTGAATGAGGCCCTGCGTTTGCATGCGTTGTGTCATTTAATCCTCATAACAACTAAATGTGGTCGGTACTATCATCCCCATTTAACAGATGAGCAAAATGAGACCCAAGCAAATGAGTGCACAACCAGCAGCGTGTAGCTACTTACTGAGTGTGAGTCCCTTCCCCTGGACCTGTGCTGAGGGCACAGCTAGCCCAGCCGGGCCCCAGGCAGCCTGGGGAGCCTGGTGGCACCCCCCCCCAAACTCTGCCAGTCTAGCAGCCAATGAGTGACCTGATGCTGAGTGTCGGGAAGCAGACAGTGGTGGGAGAGTTTGGAGAAGGTTGGCCGCAGGGAAAGGAAAGAGAAAGAAGCATTGCCTGCAAGTCTGGCAGCGGGGGCTCAAGGGGGGGCTCATGACAAGGGAGCAGCCAGCCCTGAGGGAGGCGGAATAGACTCAGAGAAATCCCCACAGTTCCCCACCAGAGTCAGCCCATATCCCACCCACTGTTATTCTGGATCACAAAGTCATGCAAGACCCCAAAAGCCTCATTTCTTGGCTCACAGAGATCCTTTGCAATCCTCTGATAGAAAGGCATGTGGCCAATTAAAGGGCTGCAAAGCCAGAGGGAGGCAGGACAGCCAGACTGGAGAGCCTTCGAATCCAAACACCGGCCAGTTACTTCCCATTTCAGGGCCTCAGTGTCCCCCTCTGTAAGCAGGATGAGTCCTGAGTCCTGGGTTGATACAGAGGGAATGACAAGGCGTGCACAGGAGCTCTGAACCCCTCTATCCACAACCCAGCACCGCTGAGAGTGTCCCCATCACTGCCACGCCTGAGCCTCCAGCGCCCCTGTGGTCCCAGCGTCAGAGGGCCTGTGCTGCTGCTTCAGAGTGGGCAATGGGGGGTAAGGGTGCCCCAGACCTGGGTGACCTGGGTCTCAGGCCCCATCTAACTGCTGTCCCCGTGTCCCCCACCCACCCACCCACAGGAGGACT